AGTCCAAAAAACATAAGACCCTTTCGAAACTGGTCCCAAAAAACCGTGAATAAGACCGCAGGGTATGGGTGAGGAGTTTCCCTCACTTTTTCCCTGCCACGTCATCCTTTCCCTCACTTTCCTTTCCTTTACTAAAACCCAATGAATGAGTGGGGAGTTTCCCTCACTATTTGTTTTTTTATTTTTTTAAAATAAAATTAATTCATTTTTATGATTTATAATTTTTAAATTAATAATAAACATAAAATTCAATTAAAAGAAAAAAGCATTTCATTAATTAAAATAAAAATTACATTAAACCTAATATTTAAATAAGTAGGAAAAAAAAAACACAAACAAAAAATCAAAAAAACCACAACATAGAAAACATAATTAATATTCTAATTTTAAAAAAACCAAAATACGTCACTCAGAATCATCGTCCTCGTCATCGACCTCATCGTCTTCATCATTCTCCTGAACGTCACTCTCGTAATTGGAATCTTCGCTCTCGACGAACATATCAGAATCCTCGTCTGATTCGTCAAACAAATCATTGTGTCAATACTCTATCGGCGGCTGAATATGAGCCCTATAAACGTGCTCCACCAAATCAGCACGAAGGGCGTGATGAATGTCGCGATTGTGTACTTATCTTCTATTTGCCCTATACTCTTGTGTACCAACGACTACTCCTTATACATTTGGCAAAACTTCATTTTCGTTGTACCGACATATTGTTCTTCATTCGTCTTCAAGAATCATATTATGCAATATGATACATGCATACATTACGTGCTGTAACCTTCTCACTTCATATGACCTTGCCCCGACTGCTAGTACTTGCCAACACCTCTTAAGTACACCAAATGTTCGCTCCACATCCTTCCTAGCTGACTCTTGCGCCTCTTTAAACTTTTTCCTTTTCGGGTCGTTAAGACATGTAAACGATTTCACAAAAATAGACAAGGGAGGATATATACCGTCAGTAAGATAACATCCATGCTTATATGCTACCCCATTTGCTTGAAAAGGTACATCGCATGACTTTCCAAGGTAGATATCGTTGAATATCGGCGACTGGTCTAACACATTGATGTCATTGTTTGCATAAGATGGACCAAAGAATGCATGCCATATCCAAACAAACCACACATTGTTTCCCGCACCCCGTGCGGTGTTCATCGGAACGGGAAACGCCTCGCCCCTCCTTCCCGCACCGGTCTAAAAAGGGGATAAAATGAAGGGTGAAGTAGTCATTTCAATAGAGCGATACAAAGTCCAAAGTCCAAAGTCCAAACTCCGAAGTGGCGGGCAAAATCGTGCTGAGCACTGAGTAGATAGTTCTCTTCCTCTGGAAGCTTTTCACTACGCCAGTTTAAAAACCATCTCCTCTCTTCTGCTGTTCTGCATCCTCACCAATAATGGCGACTAATCTCAAAGTTGATGAACTCAGAGATGAGCTCTCCAAAAGAGGGCTCAGCACCGCCGGTATTAAAAGCACACTGGTACGCTATTTTTTGTTCTTCATTTCGAAATCTGCTTCTTTTTTTACAAGACTTTTGACATTCTAAAGCTACACTCTACACATTTTTTTTTTCAGGTGAAAAGGCTTGAATCTGCTATTCGCAAAGAGTCTGTTCCTGAATGGGATTTAAATAATAGATTACTAAAGAGAGATAGGGAAAAACCTGAAGATGGGGATTTTAATTGCGGCTCTCTGAAAATTAGGGCCATAGACGACTTAAGGAAATTGAACATAAAACAGTTGCGCGAACAAGCGTCTCTTAGCGGGGTTTCGGCAAGTGGATCAAAGAAAGAACTTTTAGAGAGGTTGTGCAAAGATCCCCAAACGAACAATGATGACATTGTGGAAGGTATTTGCATTTGATTCCGAATATTGCTTATGTTTTCATTCATGAAACCTATTTTTCATCATTACTATCACCTACTTACATACCTAACACGAGCAAAAGGGGTGTTTGTATGTGCTTTTTGAAAGTAATCAGATTCATAAAATAAATTGTAATAAAACGTGAGTTGGAGACCTAGTCTAGAAGAACATCAATCACATGAAATAATAATCACTTTTTGGAAGTAATTAGAATGAAAGAATTTGGCATGTAAGGTACAGTTGAGTGTTGATTTGTATCATCTGTTTTTATTGCTATTGTGGGTGTAGAAATTGAAGAGGAGGAAGATAGAAAAGAGAGGAAGAAGGAAAAGCTGGTTACTGCCACAAAGAAAGGTTCGGCCGTATTAGATCAATATATATCGGATCAGGTTAAGTCTCAGTACCATGTACTGCAACAGGTAAAAGAATGCAAGTTTTCAACCCTATCTAAGTATCTATGCTTCATCTTCATTAATGGAGTTTTAAATGCAAATGCAGGGTAATGAAATTTATGATGCCACGCTGAATCAAACAAATGTTGGGGAGAACAATAACAAGTTTTATATCATACAAGCACTAGGTTACATTACATCTCAAAATTATTAATCTTTGAGGCCGAGGTTTATTTAAACTGTATATTTATGCAGAATCCGATGATGGTTCTACATTTATGGTTTACAATAGATGGGGTAGGGTTGGTATTAAGGGTCAAGATAAGTTGCATGGTCCCTACTCTTGTGTACAGTCTGCATTAGATGAGTTTGAACAGAAGTTCCATGCCAAGACTAAGAACTGCTGGTCTGAGCGCAAAGACTTTGTTTCTCACCCAAAAGCTTACACTTGGTTGGAAATGGACTATGGAGAAGAAGGGAAACAAACTGCTGTGAGTTGCTTCTGCTTCTTTTAGAAATTAGAATGTTCACCATATTGCATTAGTGGTTCTGACATTCACATTCATGAACAGGTCCATGGAGACTTGAGCAGGAAAGTGGATATTCAGCCTCGAGAAACGAAACTAGAACAACGCATTGCAAAGTTCATCTCTCTTATTTGCAATGTCAGTATGATGAAACAGCAAATGATGGAAATAGGTTACTTCTAAAATCTTCCTCTTTGTATATTGCTATAGGTCTTATTCACTTTTTTAAATATCTATATATATATATATATATATATATATATATATGTACATATTTTTTACTGCTTGGTATATGAATTATGATATGACTGAACATTGTTTTGTAGGCTACAATGCTGAAAAGTTGCCACTTGGTAAGCTAAGCAAAGCTACGATTTCAAAGGTTGGTTATCTTACTAGATTTGTTGCACTTTACTAGATTGTTTAAAATATTTGAGTATTTTATTTATGGTTCCATCTCATGGATGGGGAGAACCAAGACCTGGCATCCTTGCAAGGAAACAGGCAGCATTATATTTAACACAACTTAAGTAGAGATAATTATGCAAACCAAATCCTGTTTATTTATTTTATTGTTTGTGCAGGATTGCAACAAGAGGATTATATTTCTCTATTAGAAACCATTTTCTGTATATCTATGAACTCACACACGATAGGCCAAACCCTTTGTTTGAATCAAGTGGAAATAATTTTATCAATATTGAAAAAGAGGTCTTAACCCTGAATTTTACTTTTGTTCTCTGGTGAACACTGAGTAGATATATTTTAACTCATATGCTGTACAGGCACAGCTTAATAAAAGATTCTTAAATTTCATTTATCATCCAATTTCTCCATGAATTGGTGATGCTGAACCTAAAAGTAAAATTCATATATTTTAACAACTATCAAAAGGAAGGTTCTCTAGCACTCCATTCTCTGTTTCTCAAGAGCCAACACTTGATGTTACCTATATACTTGACCTGCCAATTTCTACATGTAATTCTTTTTGTTGGCGGATATTGCCTTTTTATCAACGATATATTTGGTTTTACTTTTGTGAGTTTGTCATATGTCCTGTCCTGGTGATAATCTGAAAAAAAAAAATAGGGTTATGAGGTTTTGAAGAGAGTTGCTGATGTGATTAGTCAAAACAATAGGAAAAAGCTTGAGCAGTTAAGCGGGTATGTATTTGTTCCTTGAGTTTTAAATTTCATTATAATGTGTAATCAACTTTGTTTCCATCATTTTGTCAAGTGTGTAGTAAATGTTTACCTCTAGGCTCCAGTATATAATGTAATAATGGTTTGACATAATAATTGCAGAGAATTTTACACCATCATTCCCCATGATTTTGGTTTTAAAAAGATGCGTAAGTGTATAGATATTTCTGTAACATATGACTCTCTCACTTCACCTAGTTATTGGGTTACTAACAGTAGTGTGTATACCTACCTCACAGGTGAATTCGTAATTGATACCCCTCAAAAGTTAAAACGCAAGCTAGAAATGGTAATCTTGTCTTGCTTTTGCTAAATAGCTGATCTTTATATCTCTAGTTTGGTTTAATGACTTGTAGATGTTGATTCATCAAAGGTTGAAGCCCTTGGTGAAATTGAGGTTGCAACAAAGTTGCTGGAGGACAATGCTGGGATGGAGGTAATGCTTAAAGCTTTTAACGTGTTGTTTTTTCAGAAAAATTTATTTAGGTGATCAAAAAGATGATTATGACATTGAACTAGATTTATATCCCAAGTGTTATACAATTTTTTCGGGGAGGTATATTATAAAAAAATATATATTTCTTTCTTTTGATACATTGGCTTCCAGAAACAGAAAGGTGAATCTTTGTTTTCATGGCTCAAGTCTACTATTAATATTATTCATTTCCACAGGAACAGGAAGACCCAATCCTTTCACGTTATGAACGCCTTGGCTGTGAACTAACACCGGTAGAAGTTGATTCCAAAGAGTTTCACATGGTGTGGTTCTTATCTGGCATTGCTCTCTTACAAAATAAACTTTTAGCAAATGTTGTTACTTGTATACAAATATAAACTTTCTTTGACCATTAGATCACCAAGTACATGAAGAACACTCATGCCAAGACACATTCAGATTATAGTGTTGAAATCGTTCAGATTTTTAGAGCCTCAAGGCATGGAGAAGCCGATCGTTTCAGCAAGGTAAGCTTAGCTTCTTAGATTTATCCAAGTTTGTTTTATAAAAATAAAATAAAAAGGTGTTGTGTGCTGCTGCATTGTCAACAGTTCTCTAATACAAAAAATAGGATGCTTTTGTGGCATGGTTCTCGGCTAACAAATTGGGCTGGAATCCTGTCTCAAGGTTAGCTTAATTTTTCTTTCCCTCTATCTAATCTAACATATTCATTTCCTTGAATCAATCAAATGAGTAACAAAACAAAACAAAACACCAGGTTTGCGGATTGCTCCTCCAGAAGCACCTGTAACAGGGTACATGTTTGGGAAAGGTGTTTATTTTGCTGACATGTTCTCAAAGAGTGCAAACTATTGTTGTGCCTCTCACCAAGCTTCAGCTGGTGTGCTGCTTTTGTGTGAGGTTGCTTTTTATGCTGTTTTCCTTTTTAGCATATCATATCCTCCAAAAACACTTTGCCCCCTCCTCTTTAACTAATTTCCCCACCTTTTTTTTTTTCTAATTAGGTTGCACTTGGGGAGATGGCTGAGCTACTAACAGCTAAATACGATGCTGACAAGTTGCCACAAGGAAAGCTAAGGTACTATTTATCCATATCTGCTTCTTTCTCATCACCTCACCTCAATAAGATACAATCAAAAACAGAAAACATCCTTTTTTTTTTTTCTCTTCTCTTTCTATACTGTCTTAAGGTATGTAAAAGATATTAATTCCTCTGCATCCAAACCTAAAACAAAGCCAAACAGGGCATAAAATATCATATAAAAAGTAGAGAGCTTTACCGTGATTTCTCTTTTGTGTGTGGTGTGGTGTCAGCACGAAAGGAGTTGGGGCTACTGCCCCTGATATGTCAGAGATTGAGACACTGGAGGATGGTGTTGTTGTTCCCCTAGGACACCCCAAAAAGCAGCTGACTTCAAAGGTCAACTCAACTCCTCTTTATAGTTTATATCACTATCACCTACTTTTCTTTCTAGTGTTACTTTGGTTATTATTATGATGATGATGATGACTGATGTCTTGTGAATTTATTGCAGGCTAGCTTATTATACAATGAGTATATTGCTTACAATGTCGATCAGATCAGGATGCGCTATGTTGTTCATGTCAATTTCAATTTTAAGAAATAACATTTCATGGCTTCTATTGGAAATGGAGAAATTGGTTGCCTTGTAAAGGCAGGTTTTGCTAGATGTTTGAGTTTAGAGGCTATATCAATGGTACTGTGACTTGTCTTTTGAATTAGATCCTTGTATAAACAGATTGGGAGATATCGGTCTATGTGATCAATTTATAGTTATAATAGATAACACCACTTTTATAATTGTGTTATTGTGCATGTGCTGATCAATTTATAGTTATAATAGATAACACCACTTTATAATTGTGTTATTGAGTATGTGCTCAGTGAACGTATATATAAACTTTTATTTGGTTTTGTAAGTTATCACTTTGTACACCCGTTAACGTTTTAAACGAAAAGTAAATTGTTTTGGTTTTTGTAAAACCATATTTTGATGGTTATGTTTTAAGGATATAGATCCAGTAAAACGGAAATATTTCGTAGGAAGGGTAAAAAATATATTATTTGTATGATTTTTAGCAGGGGCAAGTGACATAAAAGCCCTTAAGTTTTCCAAGAATTGTTCGTTTTTGTAACGCCCGTGTTTCTAGGCTAGGCATTAATATTGACATAATGGTCTAGGTTAACCTTTGTGACTCATTTTGGAGAAATGAAAAGGAATTATGTCAATATTATGTGTTTTATGTGTTTTATGCTTAATTATTAGGGTTTAAATAATTAAGAATAAAAATGAGCG